AGTGTCCCGTGCTTGTGAGTTCGACCTTATCTTAGAAGCACAATTATTTTATCATCAGAGGTCAGGTTGTGTAGAAGAAATGTCAGGGCTTTGAGCTGGACAGACTGAAGCTCCCCAGCCTGTGATCCATCTGTCTCCTCACCAGCGAAACAAGGACAGTGAACCTATCTGCGCCTTCTGGGGTAGTCTGGTTATGACTAGTGTGAACCCCCCGGTCACACTATTAGTAGCAAAAAACCATTTTATTATGTGGACAAATTCTGTGAACCAGGAATATGGAGAGGGAACAGGAAGTGGCCGTCTCTCCTCCAGGAGGTCTGTGTCCTCAGCTGGGACGACTCAGCGGCTGGGGGTGATGTAATGACTGAGGAATGGTGTCTTCTGGAGGCGCTTTCTGAAATCTGTCAGCTGGAACACGAGCTGGAGATGTTGACCAGAGCACCCGTGTGCAGACATCATAGGACCTGGGCTTCCTCACAGATTAGAGGAGGTCTTCACAGCACTGGGGGTTCCTCACAAATTAGAGGAGGTCTTAGCACTGGGGGTTCCTCACAGCACTGGGGGCTCCTCACAGTACTGGGGGGGTCCCTCACAGCACTGGGGGTTCCTCACAGCACTGAGGGGTCCCTCACAGCACTGGGGGCTCCTCACAGCACTGGGGGCTCCTCACAGTACTGGGGGGGTCCCTCACAGCACTGGGGGGTTCCTCACAGCACTGGGGGCTCCTCACAGCACTGGGGGTTCCTCACAGCACTGGGGGGTCACTCACAGCACTGGGGGTTCCCTCACAGCACTGGGGGTTCCTCACAGCACTGGGGGTGCGGAATGACGCCCCGAGTCGTGAGAACCTCCCATGGCGTGAGTGACCAGGGGGTGAGGAACCATGCCTGTGAGACGCGCCCAGTGCTGTGAGACCTTGCCAGCTGCTATGAGAACCAGTGCTGTGAAGACCGTCGTGAGGAACCCCCGTGCTGGAGGAACTCCCCCAGTGCTGTGGAACCCGCCAGTGCTGTGAGTGACCCCAGTGCTGTGAGGAACCCCCAGTGCTGTGAGTACCCCCCATGCGTGAGAACCCCAAGCTGACATGATGACCCCCCAGTGCTGTGAGGAACCTCCAGGCTATGAGGAACCCCCAGTGCTGTGAGGACCCCCCCAGTGCTGTGAGGAATCCCCCAGTGCTGTGAGGAACCTCCCCAGTCTGTGAGGAACCCAGTCCTTGGTGACCCCCTCCGAAGTCTTGAGGAACCCCCAGTGTGGAGTGACCCCCCCCAGATGCTGGAGGAACCCCCATCTGTAGTGACCCCAAGTGCCTGTATACCCCAGTGCGGAGGACCCCGTGCTGTGAGGGAACCCTTGCCAGTGCTGCTGAGTGACCCCCCCAGGCTGGGAGAACCCCCAGTGCTGTGGGAGCCCCCAGTGCGTCGGAGGAACCCCCAGGCGTGAGCGACCCAGTACTGGAGGAGCCCCCAAGTCGGGGAGAGCCCTCAGTGCGTGAGGGACCACACTCAGTGCTGTGAGGAACCCCAGATGCCCTGTGAGGGACCCCCGCCCAGTACTGTGAGGAGCCCCCCCAGTGCTGTGAGAAACCCCCAGTGTAAGACCCTCCTCCTAACTTGTGAGAACCCAGTCTTGAAGCCCTCCTAATCTGGAGAACCCAGGTCCCCTAGATGTCTGCCACAACGTGCGCTGGGTCAACCCATCCCAGCTCGTGTTCCAAGCTGAACAGATTCCAGAAAAGCGCCTCCCAGAAACAACCATCTCAGCAATTCAACCCCCAGCCGCTGAGTCGTCCCACCTGAGACACAGACCTCCCCTGAGAGAGACCGGCCACTTCCTGTTCCCTCCTCCCAATATCCCTGCGCGA